TTAACCAACAAATATACGTTTTTTGTTTAATAATCAACAAATGGCCACTTCTTAAAAAAGTTTGCTTTTATTAACAACTAGTTATTAATTTATTCATCAGTGATATGAAATTTTTCATTAAAAAGATGTTTTTTGAACAACTATTTGTTTGTTCATTCAAATGCTAGTAATTATTTTAGTCAATAAAAATAAACTTATATTATTATTATGTGTATATTATTTAAAAATTTCTCTTTACATATCATCTAAACTTTTATTAAACATTAATTAGTTTAATTGTTAAATATTGTTTTAAACAGTATCACAATTTACTGTTATAATAAGTAAAATTAATCATTAATATAATAAACACTTAATTGTATTAAACTTATAAAAAATATAAATTATAAATAAATATACCCATTTTGCTATTATATATAAATGAATATAAAGAAATACACTTTATTTTATCATTTTTTTGTTATAAAAAATAAAAAAATGATTATTTAAATTACTCACCACGAACGACTGTTTTTGTTACAAAACAAAATTAATTAATGCAGCACTTGTTGGTATTGTCGCATCTTCGACGAACGACTGTTTTTTTGGGGAAACAATAAGCACTTATAAACGTGACACTTAATGGAACATAAACACTTTTTAAATTTTCACATTCACAAAAACAACCTATACCTATTGATGTGACACTTGATGGTATTTCTATATTGCTCAGATTGCTACATCCATAGAAACAACCTTCGCCTAATGAAGTGACACTTGATGGTATTTCTATGTTGCTCAAATTAATACATTCATTGAAACACATCTCACTTATAAATGTTACAGATGGTGGTATTATAACACTTCTCAGACTGGCGCATTGATGGAAACAATAATTACCAATAAATGTGACAGTAGATGGTATTATAATGTTGCTTAGATTGTTACATTCATCGAAACAAAATTTATGAATAGTATTCACGTTTGTTGGTATAGTCACACTGCTTAGACTTCTGCATTCGGAGAAACAACTCCGTTTTAATGATGTTATACTTAATGGTATTGTCACACTACTGAGACTATCACATCCACAAAAACAAAGGTGACCAATATAATTCACATTTGATGGTATATCAATACTTTCCAAGTTTCTACATCCTTGGAAACATCTCGGACCAAATAACGTGACACTTAATGGTATTGTTATGCTGCTCAAACTACAATTACGGAAACAGCTATGACTAATAAGTGTGACACAATTTGGTATGTTATCACCAAATTTCATTCGGTCGGTTTGGGTGTAAGCAATATCTTTGAACTTTATGTTTTGACCATCGTTTTTGACAACGGTGTCATAATTAACATTGAACCACACAATGATTTCATAAAACACTTTTGTCACAACAGTTTCTTTGTTTTTGTTTATATCTCCATG